GCCCCGCTCTGGTCCCCGGTTCTAGGCTAGCTGTGTCCCCACTAGTCTCCCCACCAGGGACCCTGCAGGCCAATATAGCCAGTGATGGCACCTCCATAACGCCTGCAGGTCCAGGGCCTATCGCCAACTCATGCCTCTTGGCCACTTTTCTTTTCCAGAGGGTGGGAGTGGGCCCACCGCACTGCAGCAGCCTTGCTAAGGTGTTGGCCTGGAGCAGAGGTCCTCACTGGCCCGTGGGTTCAAGGGCTTCCCGTCACCCTGCTTACAGTCCTCCTGCGAAGCCTGGCCTCCTGGATCGCTCCCTGCAGGGCTTGGGGCCGCTGGCAGGCGGGGAGGCTCCGTGGGGCTTCTGCTTGTGGTACATGAGTGCCACTCATGGCCACTACTTGTGCCAGGCCCTGTCTTTGCTGGGGAGATGGTTTGAAGGCACTCGCCTCCCTCATCCTGCCCTCATCCTGTCCTGGCAGGGAGCCCCGATGGACACGAGAGCGGAGCAGAGTGCGTCCTGACCCCTGCCCCACGCGGCTGCCTCTGTGCTGGCCCCCGTGACTATGGATGAGTGGAAACCCAACCCTGCCATCAAGCCCCACAAGAAGCGGAGCTGGTACCTTGCCTGGAAGTACAAGCTGATGAACCAGCGTGCGCTGCGGAAGCTGTGCCAGGTGAGTCACCCGCAGGCCTGCGGTGGATTAGGGAGGGTAATCTACAGGATTTACGAGCTTATGGAGCAGCTGCATGGATGGAAGTGGGTCTGCTGGCAGTCATGGGTGACTTAACATGCTGGGGAAGCATAACTTGTCCCCCAGAAAGCTACCACCAGTGGGTTTGTGCTCATGCATGGAAGGGTCTGCCATGTCTAACAGCTCCTTCCAGCTGCAAGTGGACCTGTTGGGTGGCTATGGCAGGAGATACAATTATCCTGGTGTCCTTGGAAGGCTTTCAGGTAGAAACCTGACCAATTCCTCCCCTCCTGGTTCCGGACCCATGCCAAGTGCAGCAGGGCTCAGCCGGCAGTGGGAAACCATCCTTGCCCCATTTGGTTTGCAGACCAAGCCTGGTATAATGCACAACAGGTGGACAGAGAAAATAGGGCTGGGTAACAGGATCTTATGCCCCAGAGGCAGCTGGCGTCTGGGAAAGCTGCGGGCCTTGTCACTTGTGCTGTAAAACGGCTAATCCTCAGCAGAGCCGACGTCCTGGGGGGTGTCTGGGGGCGTAAGGACAAGAGGGGTTTCGCCCCATGGCAGCGAGCTGCAGAAAAGGGGCTGTTCCCGATATGAGCAGAGCTCATGAAATCTGGCAGTTGGTTGCTGTGGGAGGGAGCTGGGGAGGGTTTTGCATGTGCCTGGGAGGACGAAGGCTCGTGAGGGCTCCCTGGGGAAGGAGACTGCTCGGTCCTGCATTCGCTGAGGTGCTCAGGGCTTGGGAACAGGCCTGGTCGTTCAGGCAGGCATTGCTCATCGTGCTGCAGGCAACAGGTTAGAGCCTGTCTGCTGTCATCTCTTTCCTTCATGGTACTGCTGGGGCTTAAAACACAGATTAAAACTGAGCTTAAAATATGTAAACTAGAGCTGCAGCTATGGAGTAGCCAGGTCCACAGCAGCTGGGTCTCTATGGGCAGCTCTGACTGAGCCAGCCTTGCTAGATCCGGCTGCTGGTCCTACGTGGTGCTGCCTCGTTCACTCTGGTCACCTGGGCTGCGGGGCTGCTCCCCCGTGTCTCCAGTACTGACCAGGGTGGAAGGCCTGGGCAGATTGGTAAGGTGGCTTTGCTGCTGGCCACCAGGCACAGCCTGCTCCTCGCTACAAGCCCAAGGCTCCGTTCTGGCCTAATTAAAAGCTTTCTGTGCACAGATCCCAAAAGGTGCTCATACGCCTGAGTCAACGGCAAATCAACAAGCCAAAATGCCATAATGATGTTTATGTTATCACGTTGTCCACCTGTCCATCTCTTGTCTTATTGCTGTTTTTCCATCTTCTTCTTCCTCAGTTACTTCTTGGACCCGTTTGGCTGCTTGGCAGAGCTAGCAGCAACATGTAGATTTTCGGCAGCAGCGGACCCGTGAGGGGTATCACGTTGTCCACCTGTCCATCTCTTGTCTTATTGCTGTTTTTCCATCTTCTTCTTCCTCAGTTACTTCTTGGACCCGTTTGGCTGCTTGGCAGAGATAGCAGCAACATGTAGCTTTGAGGCAGTAGCTGGCCAGGTAGGGCGGGGATCCTTTTAGTGCCTTTCACCAAGGGCAGACCTGTGTGTGATCTCAACCCCATACCAGACCTCAGAGAATCAAGGGTCCTGGAGTTGAAAAAGGCACAGATTTTTAGGAAGCAAGCTGTTGGGGGGTTGAAGGGCAAGGGAAGAGTCTCAAAACCACCCAAGACCTGTCTCAATATCCCCTTGCGGGGGGACCAGGCTATGAGCAGCCTCCACCAACCTCTCCCCTCCTCTCCCTTGGTTGCTGTGACATCTCCACGCTG